CGACGGGGGAGATGATGCTAGGCTCGGTACTAGGCGCGGTAACAACTAAACTGGTACGAACGAGAGGTAGGATCAGGCTCGGGAGGTACGAACGGAGAACGGAGGAATGGGATCCCACAGGATCCTAACCTAGCTGATACCATGTCAGAATGAGGAATGATGTTGCATTGATGTTGGTTGGGGTACATATGACAAACCCTAACTTCTGTACCCCCTAAGACAAACCTCACTACAGGCTACAACATTTGACAGGCCGGCCGCTAGGGCGGCTCGGGGAAGGAGTGGCCCGAGGCGCGACTCGGGATGAGTGCGCTTCGGGCAGGAAAAAAAAATTCGAGTGGTGGGCTCTAGGCACAGTTCCCACAGGGGAACCTGCTCTGATACCATGAGGAAAACTGAACGAGAATGAATGCACTATGAAATGAAGTGAGTACAAATATGAAACCCTAATTGGGTTGTACCCCTTATGGGATACCCCACCATAGCCTACAGAAAAGAGTAAGCTATAATGTTCTGACACGCTCGTCGTTGCCGCGGAGCTAGTTACTCCTGTAGTCCGGAGCCTGTCTTGCTCTCGGTAGCCACTGTGCCAGCCGCTCCTGTTGCCCGTGTGTATGCAGCTTCAGCCGTTGCCTCCCATCTCCTCTCCTCATAGTCCAGCCTCCTCCTCCTTACGTGCCCGTTGTGAATGCCTCTAGCTGTGCTTGCCCTTGTGAACCTGCTCTATGATTGCTTGCTCATTGTGCTGATTACATCCCACTTTGGCTATGGGGGTGTGTCAGAATGTTATTATTGTCTAGCCTGCAGTGGGGTACTCTATATCGAGTACAACCCAATTAGGGTTTCCTATATGTATGCCAACTGCTGCTAGTGAAAGCCTCTCCTTTCTTCATTCTTGTTTCTGACAGCTAGTTCTGACAATGGGAAGAGGAGTTCATTCAGCAGCTCGAACACTCCATGGTGGATTCTCGCGGAAGGCTCGTGGAATCACTTATGAATAGCACCATTAAATCGCTTTCATCAGGATCTCGCTCTAACACGCACGGCTTGTTGATTCGTCCGAGGAGCCGTAGTTAGGATAGGGCGCCTCAACTGAGACGTCGTCCACTCAGGCCCCTGAGCCCCCTAGGCGCGCTGTGAGCCATGGCGGTGGACTGACACGGTCCCGCAAGCTGTGGCAATGGCTGCTGAATGGTCGAACATCTTTCAGCGGTTGAGTCCATGCTTTAGTGGTTTTTATTAGGTTTTTGGTTTTGTAAATAGTGCTCACAATTTCCTCGAACCCGTTGGCTGCCACATTGCGACGTTTGCCAATCTAAGTCTGCGAATTATTCTGCCGAATCTGCGAAATGTTTTCTCCAAACTTGCATGTCGCCACGCAGTTCGCTTGTCGCTCACAGACCATGATCGCATTGCATTCCCATCCAGCACAGACGAACCACATTGCATGGATCCCCCAGTCTAGTTATCGCGCTTGCTTGTGAAACAACTCAAATCCCATCACTGACAGAGCACAGAGCTTAGGACGCCATGGCGGAAACTCCGTCCTCGAATTCGTTTAGCCAGTTAGACAATTTCCCTGACGAGATCCTCGCTCTTATTATCCGTCACGTATCGTCGTGCAATCCGTGTCAGTTAAACCACGCGCTCACGTGCAAGCGATGGCTGCGAATCTCACGGCTCGTGCAAACCACCTTCCATGTGGCAGAAGGCCGACGACTCTCGGAATCTTACCTCCTCCGCTCCCTCTCTCACTTCCCTAATCTCACGAGTATCCATCTCGCGAAGCGTAGCGTTGACGTTACGGATTGCCGGTTTTTCCGCGAGCTCGGTTGCTGTTCCTTCAGTGCTAATCTCACCTGCTTCCAGCTCGACGAGATTAAAACCTCAAAATTATCTTCCCAACCCATCTTGTCGACCAGCAGCAGATTATCTACAACCGGCGACGTCGATTCTGGCCTCAATTCTCTCTTCCAATCTTGCATGGATTTCACTGACGTGTCGACTTCTGAGTCGACTCAAAAGTCGAACAGCAACGGATTGCCTACTACTACCGGCGGCGACGTCGATTCAGGCCTCGATTCTCTCTTCCAAGCATGCACGAATTTGACTGACGTATCGCTCTCTCTCCGGTCGTCCGTCTCATCGTTTCCGACTTCCCTTTTCCGTTTAAGCGGGCTCTCCCATTTACGACTCTCCGTTAACGGTTTCAGTTCCTTACCGAATGACTTCTCCCATCTGGCATCATCTCTCAAATCCCTCAAGCTTCTATCTTCTGGGCTAGAAAGGCTACCCGAAACCCTAGGAGATTTCTCCTTGCTGCAAGAACTGACCCTGTCATCATGCAGCAAACTGCATTCCCTTCCGAACGTTTCTGCACAGCAGCTGCCCAGTCTCCGTCTGGTTTCCCTTGACTGTCCAACTCTCGCCAATCTGCCCGAGAATCTCTGCCAATTGCCATCTCTGACCACCTTGAAAGTCTCCTCCTCCAGAATTCCTTCACTACCCGAGAATCTAGGCGAGAATCTACCGCGTTTGCCACTATCCCTGGGAAACCTTGAAAACCTGGAAACATTAAGGATCAGCCAATGCTTCTCTCTGGCATACCTTCCAGCTTCCCTCTGCTTCCTCCCTAATCTCCACACTCTTTCCCTGATCGGCTGTCCGGCTCTTGCCTCCCTGCCAGATACTTTCGGTCAGCTGCCCGGGTTGAAAGTATTGGAGCTGGTGGGATGCAGGAAATTTCAGCAGCTGCCTGCGTCACTGACAGCTCTGCAGGCACTAACTCGCCTTGTGATTCAAGGATGCCACAATTTTCAGTCGCTGCCCGAGAACATCGGGCACATGAAGGGGCTGAGAGATCTGGAAATCTCTGCAAGCGACGGCCTAATGGAAATCCCAGCAACACTGTTGCATCTCTCACAACTCGAGCGCTTGTCAATTTCAGCCTGCCCGAAACTCCAATCTCTGCCCAACGGCCTGGGTAGTGAAATGTTGAAGAACCTGACGCACCTGGAACTCTTGGACCTCCCATGGTTACCCGGGCTGCCAGGAAGCTTAGGGAAGCTTCCGAGCATCCAGGAGGTTCGGCTGAATGGCTCCAATCTGGTTAGGCAGCCACAGCTTCGGAAGTCATTTTACCCAAAGCAGGCCTCCTCTTGGGTGACCGTTGGTCCTCTTGCCTGGATTTCACAGCGACCTGTTTCTGAAGCCCCACCTCCTCCGCGCCTCTTTTCAATAATTCCTCCTGGCGGCGCAGGACTAGGAGATTGGGTCATTCGGCCTTTCGATTGAGTGACCGGACAAGGATTTTGAACTCATCCATAGCTTCTTCTTTGACAGGCTGGCTGGCGCCGCTCCTCGTCTGCAAGCGATCTCCTTCGTGCCTGGATCTCCCGATTTCCCAGCCTATTTATCCTCCTATTGGCGAAGAGCATGGAATGTGTACCGGACCGGAGACCACCTTCCACTGCCTTGGCCGAGCCTATTGGGATCTGGTCAACCTCTCACTGCCTATCCTCAGCATTGGTTTGGAATCTACTGACACCGGCATATCGGTACGCTTGGGAACGCGGTTTGTATTACCTCTGCACCGTAGTACATAGATTTTATATCACTATTGCAGCGGCCTGACCTGAAACCAGTCCAAGAGTGCACAGCAGTGCAACAGTGGATTACTGTCCGACTGGCCTCAGCCACCTCCTTACTTCAATCATTGCCCCTTTTTGAGAATTTTGAAGATTAAGATCAGCCTCACATGTCTTGCCCATGCGCTCGTGGCCTGTATCATACTTTTGGAATGCGGAGTCTGAACAACTCTTTTTGTCTTCCATAGATTGAAGGTCCCGCCTAAGAGCCCAGAAGCCCGGGATGGTAATCATCAAGAGAATGTACATACCGTAGTGACTCTTCTTCACACGCGGCGGGGCGTATTTGTGGGGGAAGGAGGGGGGGTTATGTGTGGGTGTGCGTGCGTGCACACGCGTGCTCATGTGTGTGCATTCTTTTGACCTGCCACTAGTTTAACCCTATTTTCATTCACATGGTACATATGCCCAAACTTATGCAAATAGCGAATCCAACTTGAACGAATTACTGACGAATTCCAAAACCCAGAACTCCTCATTACGTTCAGCTTTCAAACACTGTCAATTTCATCTCCCCTCGTTCATTTCTCCTCTGCTGTTTCTTCCCGATGGCGGCCAATCTAGTCTCTACGGCGCCGCTAGGCATTCTTCCCAGCAGGATTCCCTGCAATCCTATTTCCGATAGTAAAGCCTTGCGCAAGACTGACTTATTCCCCTCAATCCCTTCGATCGCCGCATTCCCCGCACATTCCTTCCCCCCTAACCCGCCAAATGCAAGCGTTTTTCCGCTCAAGGTAGAATCTCTCGCCGCTCAAAGCGAAGAGCAAGAATTTTTTGACCAGTCGCGATCCAACGGTGGCGGTCGGTTGGGCGCACGCGGGGAACGGGACGGGCGTGATGGCTCGGAATACATCCCCCGAAGGTTTCCCCCCGAGAATGCTGGTCGGGGATGGGAAGGGGGGAGGTCGGGCGGAAGGGGAAGAGGCGGACGGAGTAGGGGGGGAAGCAGGGGTGGCGGACGGGCGGGGGGAAGAGGGGGAGGCGGAAGGGGTTATGACGAGCGGACGGCTTGGAAGCGGGAAGGGGGACCGGATCGAGGCTACGCGCAGGGTAGAAACGGCGCTGATTTTAGCGAGGATGATTATAGTGGCGGAGAGAAAGGTACCTTCAATCCCGGAACGCGCTGGTCTGGTACCAGTAGTGAGCGTACTTATAACGGAGGATGGCGATCGGACGACGACAAGCCGCCGCGGACGCTTCAAGACGTGCCGGACCGCGTTCGGGGTGGATTACCTGCGTCTTTAAGGACGTCTCAATCGCCGGGGTACGATCGACGGGGCCGAGGCGGTATCAATCAGCGTGGCAATGCCGCGCCGTACGACAGCAGGCCGTACGGATCAAAGGAGGCGTACAATGGGCGATCGTACGGCCGAGAGCGGTACGATTCCGGCGGGAGTGACGGGGAGCGCAGACCTGCGGGGAAGGAGCCTGGGCGTGGGCGTGGGCGTGGGCGTGGGCGGGTGGGCGCGTGGGCAGGGGGAAGAGGCGGGCGCGGGGAAGCATGGAGCGGGGAACGACTCAGGGAGCCTGAGGAAGGTAGGCCCGCGGGGAGGGTTCCTGCGGGGGGCAGGGGGCGGGGGGACGCCTGGGGCGGAGGAGAAGGCTGGCGCGGGGCGCGAGGCGGGCGGGGGGGACTAGGCGGGAGGAGTGTAAGAGGTCGCGGGGAAGCAAGGGGGAGCGGGAGCGGAAAGAGGGGAGGAGCAGGGGAGGCGTGGAGGGGAGGAGCGGGGAGCGGCTTAGCGGAGTCAGCCTCGCAGCCAATAGGGGGACGGTGGGGCGAACGGGCCGAATGGCGCGACGACGAGGAAGGTTCGCGGAAAGAGAGCCAGTCTGAAAGGTTTTTATGGGGGATAGAATGGGATCCGTTAGCAGTGGAGCAACTAGATGGCGATGAATGGGGTTCGGATTTGGGAAAGGACGATGCGATCGAAGGGGACGGATGGGGTTTGAAAGGGGACGGTAAAGATTGGGAAGAAAGGAAGGGTAAAGGCGAAGGGATTGAGGGGTTTTGGGGAGGCGAGGAGGAAGAGGAGGCGGAGGAAGAGTTAACTAACTTGAAGACTCCTGGAAGCAGGGTTTTAGACGAGGGTTCTGAGCTTCTGCCACTGGCAGCTGCAGGCAAGAGTTTTGCAGCAGAGGTTTTTGCTGCCAGGGGTGGCACGCCCTTGATAACGGACTCGAGGAGCTTGCGTGGCGAGCTGCGCTGGGGTGTCAAGGAGGGTTTAAGCGGGGGTTTGGGGGGGAGTGAGGGGGAGGCGGGCGGGGAGGAGTGGCGGAGGCGGAAGGTGGGGTGGCTTGCGCGGGAGGTGGTAGCGGTGGTGCCGAGTGCAATGGTGCGGCTGCTGAACGCTCAGAAGCAGTGGATGCGAATGGACGACCTGGTCGCTGTAGTGGAGAGCCTTATAGCGAGGAAGGAGGTGGTTCGCGGGATACGGGTGAGTGGTACAGTGCAGTTGTTGTGCGAGAACGTGTGTGGTGGGAGGGGGGTGGGCAGGGAGTGTGGAGAGAGGGGGTCATCATGGAGGGCCAGGAAGACTTTGCGGGGGGAGGGGAGGGGGTGGGGATGGGAAAAGGTATGATATGATGTGGGTTGCTTGCATTTCAAAGTTTTCATCATATCCTCCTCTGTCTCCCATTTGTCCATCCCCTTCCTTCCTCTCTTCCCCCACTTCTTCCCCTTCTCCCTTGTCCCTTTCCCCCCTTGCATCCCCTTCTCCCTTTGTCCCGCTTGACCCCTTAGCCCCCCTTTCCCGCCCTTGTTCTCCTTCCCTCCCTTTCCCGCCCTTGTTCTCCTTCCCTCCCTTTCCCCTTCCCCCTTTCCCCTTTCCCCTTGCACCCTATGCCCCCCCACAGGTCTTCCAGTGGGCGCTGCATGCGCCCTTCTTCTCCCCCCCCGCCTCCCCCCCAATCCTCTCCGCCCTCCTCCTCTCCGCGGCCGCCCAGGGGAAGATCCGCCACATGCTCCCCCTCCTCTCCTCCGCGCTCCCCCAGGGTGTTTCCCCATCTCGCCCAGCTTTTGAAGGGGTAATCCGGTCGTTGCTTCTCGCCGCGAAACGTGCCGAGGAGTGGAAATGGGAAGGGGGGAAGGGAGGGGCGGGGAGCAGAGGAGGACGTGGGGGGAAGAGCGGGGGGAAACGGGGAGGGGGAAGGGCAGGGGGGAGGGGGAGGGGAGGGGAAGGTGGAGTGGGGGAGGAGGAGGGGGAGGGGAGTGGGACGAGAGGCATGGGGAGGAGGATGAGGGAGGAGATGGAGAGACTAGAGGAGAGTGCGTGGGAGGTGTATGGTATGATGCAAGGCTTGGGAGGAATGAGAGAGAGCAGTCCCGTGGAGTCCCCTTCCCCCTCCTCCTCCCCCTCCTCCCCCTCCTCCCCCTCCTCACTCTCATCTCCCTCCTCCCCACCTTCCTCGAAGCTTCTCTACGAGCTATATGACGTGTTCAGCCGCCCATCCGCCCGCGGCCGCCACGTCAGCAAGCTGGAGCAGCTACTTGAAGACCTATCTTCCCTCGGGGCCCCAACCACCCCCCTCATGCACTCGCGCTTAGCACAGCAGCTCGCCTGCTTAGGAGATATTGACAAAGTTGATGCACTTTTGGCTAAGATGCGCTTAGCTAAGCTCCCGATCCCGGCTCGTGCTTTAGAAGCCGCGGTGATTGCTTGCGCTCGGGCGTACCACTCACAAGGACCCCTCGGGCAGCAGGAAATTTTCGGTGCGGGCAGAAGGGAAGTTTTTGGCATGCTGACGGGTCTGCCCGAGCGGGCAGCGAGGGGAGTGAGGGAGGTGGAAGAGGCCGGGTTTCGGCCGAGTCAGGAAGTATTAGTGGCTTTAATGGAAGTGCTTAGTAAAGCGCAGAGATACAGAGAAGCAGTGAGTGTATGGTCGAAGGTGGTCGAAGCAGCCGAAGCTGCTGCTGCTTCTGCTGCTGTTGCTGCTGGTTCCGCTGCTGGAGGTGCCGAAGCTGCTGGTTCGGCGGACAGGTCCGGCGCCGGTTCGGCGCGGCAGGCTCGGCCGAGCCTGCGGGCGTATAATGTGTATGTGGAGGCGTTGAGTGGGGCGGGAGAGGTGGAGGCGGCAGAGGGAGTGGTGAGGGAGATGGGTGAGAGGGGCATGAGGCCTCTTACCAAGGTGTTCAATGCGGTGCTGAGGTTGCATGTGAGGGTGGGCATGGGTGCTGGTGGTAATGCGCTGGATATGCCAGCAGCAGCAGCACTATCACCACCATCACCACCATCACCACCACCACCACCGTCATCATCAGCAGCAGCAGCAGCAACAGCAGCGAGGGATGCAGCAGTGCGTGTGTTCACGGAAATGGCTTCCTTTGGATGCCCCGCCAGCAGTGAGGCATGCAACCTGCGCCTGCAGACTCATCTTCTGGCGAGTGACTGGGAGGGCGCATGGGAGCTCTATGGCGGAATGAGAGGAGCCCTGGAGGGAGGGGAGGGAGGAGTGGGAGGAGTGGGAGAGGGAGGGGTGAGGGGAGAGAGGGGGATGGGACGAGGAGGGAAACGGGTTGCAGAGAGAGGGACACGAGGAGGGGGCAAAGGAGGGAGGGATGGGAGAGGGAAGATGAGGGGGGTGAGGGCAGGGGGGAGAGGAGAGTGGGAGGAGAGTGAGGAGGATTGGGAGAAGCATGGGTGGATGAGGAGGGAGGGGAGGGAGGGGAATGAGGACTGGGAAGCAGAGGAGGAAGAGGAAGAGGAAGTGGAAGAGGAAGAGGAAGAGGAAGAGGAAGAGGAAGTGGAAGAGGAAGAGGAAGAGGAAGAGGAGGATGGTGAAGAGGATGGATACGACGGCGAGGAGGAGGAGGAGACAGAGAGAAGGGAGGAAGAAGCTGCAGACTCACAGGTGAACGCGAGAGCAACACTGCTGCCTGTGCTGAGTCCCCCCAACCAGCACACGTACGACTTGCTACTGCTGGCTCTGGCTGCAGCTGGGGATGTGGGGGGCGTGGAGAGAGTATATGAGGACATGCTGAGAGAGGGGGTGCGCGGTGGGTTGAGGAGGGGAGGAGGGGAGGGAGAGGAGGGCGAGGAGGGCGAGGAAGGTGAGGAGGGAGAGGATGGGGAGGAGAGCGAATGGGAGGAAAGCAAGAATGGTGGTGGGGTGTTTGGGGTTGGGAGTGGAAGGGGGAGAGTGAGAGGCGCGGAGGGGAGTGAGGAGGAGAGGGGAGGAGGAGGAGGGGTGGGGAAGGCGCGGAGGTTCAGCCTGCAGGGGCGAGTGAGGGAGGCGGTAGAGCAGCTGTTAGGGGTGGAGCGAGTGAGAAGGGACGAGGCGTGGGCTGCTGCAGTGGCTGCCCGAGGGGGATCAGCCGCAGCAGCAGCAGCCTTCTTTGGAGGAGCAACAGCAGCAGGAGAAGGAAGAGGAGGAAGAGGAGGAGGCGGCATGGGTGGGACGGGGAGAGGCTGGAAGGCGGGAGTACCAGGGGAGGGGGATGTGGCGATGGGTCTCAGGCTGACGAGGGAGCAGCGGCAGGTGTTGGTGGGCGCTCTTCTGGCTGGGGCAGAGGTGGAGAGTGCAGACGGGGGCGTGTCGTACTCGATACGATTCTCACAACCTATTGGGGCGGGCGGCGAGGATTGGCGCATGCGGGTGCTGGACTGGCTGTACGAGGTGTTCCTTCCCTGGGTGGCTGCTCCCCCGGTGGATGTGACTGTAACAAGGGGAGAAGTTGGGGAAGGCGAAGCGGTGGTTGTGACTGTAAAGGGGGGAGCAGTTGGGGAAGGTGAGGGGGGGGATGTGGGGGAGGCGGGGGATGGGGAAGGTGGGGGGGACAGCATTCGCGTGCGGACGTTTGCTACCATTGCGCACCCGTCTCTGCAGTTCTACGCCCGGCAGTTTCGTCCCCTAGCGAAGGATGTGGCCGGCAAACGGGGCGGCAGAGAGGCGGCGGTTCCTCGTCTTATTCATCGGTGGCTGTCACCCCGAGGCATGGCAACGTGGCTCATGTATAACGGGTGGGCTATTAGAGGGGATGGACGCAAGGGAGGGAGAGAGGTCAGAGGGGAGGAAGGGGGTGAGGAAATGGGAGAGGGAGTGGGAGTGGGGGAGGGGGAAAAGGTTGAAGAGATGAAGAAGTCTGGTGATAATACGGGTGGTGGTGGTTATAACCTGGTTTTTGGAGCGGAGGGGTATTCTGCCAAGGAGGTGGCACTGGTTGTTGCAGCGGTGGGTGCACGAGTGGAAGATTGCGCTTGGAAAAAGGGATCCAAGGGTAGGAACAATGCAATGAGGTTCAGTGGGCTCTCTGCACGTGTCACTTGGCGAGCCATGGAGCCTTATATGGTGGAGGAGGCGAGGGATGCGCTTGGCCCTTGATGAAACGTAACCGTTGTGATGTTCTTATGGTTTGGACCGACATCATGCATTGGTTTAACTTCTGTGTTATCTAAGAGTCACTTGGCAGGCCATGCAGCCTTATATGGTGGAAGAGTAATTAGTGTTTTGCAGCTGTACAGCCCAGGCAAATTGCTTCTGTTACGAAATTTGCGAATTCGCGCATTGTGACGCCTCCACTCGCGGAGCTCCCAAGGCCACAAACTATCGGATTGAGGAGATTTCGTCCGGCCAATAACGGTTCACGACCCTCCATCCACCGACACATACAGCGTCTCGCTGGGAAATCCTTCGACACGTGATTCCCACACATCCCCACCCCACACATTCTGACTCTCCCAAGGACTGACGATTGCGTTTCAGTGAGGTGATTCTTGATCTAGAGCGGCGATGTAAAATGTAAGAACGGTTTAGTAGGGTAGTGAGTGAAAACCAACACCAACCAACTCGATCGTCTCATCATCAACATTCCAACTCTGGTCATCATGATCACTCTTTCTCGTTGATCTATATATGCCTGTCAATAAATTCCTTCGCCGCGCGTTGCGTTCCGTAGCCGCTGCGTGCAGCACGGGGCTCTTGTTCCCAGTACGGCACGCGATTGTTCCTCCCTAACGCGGCTGACGTGAGCCACGCGTAGGCGCCGCAGGAATGGCTGGTGGAGGTGACGTCAGCAATGGCAGCAGTCCGATCAATCACAGCCGTCCGAAGGACGGCTACGCTGCGGGTCCGCCCTGGATTTTCAAGGGCAGGTTGGTCCCTCCCTTGATGCGTAGCCTAATTGAGGTGGTCGCGGCAACGCATTCCGTAAATGATGAGTTCTGACTTTCCAGATCATTGGGAAAGGAGCAGTCGCGACGACGATCGTCGCGAAAGGAGCAGTCGCGACGACGATCGTCACGAAAGGAGCAGTCGCGACGACGATCCTCACGAAAGGAGCAGTCTAGCGTGGTTTCTGTGGCTCGTTAACGTTGGTTCGCTCGTTTGCTTGCCTTTCAAACACGAGGAAGAATCGAGAAGGTTCTCGCACGGAGCGACTTTTGAGACGTTTCCTAGCGAACCCGGCTATTGTGACCCTTACGGCGCAATTTCCCCACCCGACACACCCTCTATTGTCACACTCAAGTCGCAATACCCTCTATTCGGAATACCCGCTACTATCACTCTCAGGGCTATGTACCAGCTGAACCTGGTCAAGGCTGACGTGGCACGCCGCGTCGTTCCGCCGGAGCTCAAGCTCGTCGAAGCCTTCGGGTGGGTGCTGTAGGTTTTAGAGCGGTGATTTTTGAGTCTTAAAGTGGTGCTTGTGGTCCTAGCGTGGTTCTATGGGTTGCAGAGCGGTGCTCTGGGTAGTAGAACGGTGCTCATGGGTCGTTGAGTGGGGTGAGCAAATACTGTCATTACAATCGCTCCACGTTCGTCAGTATCCATCACAGAAGGGAGTGCTCCAAGGCGCGAACGAAGTCTCGCACTCCCGTCTGTGATACCCGGTCTCTGAGGCTTCGGCTGGGTATTCCGAGATCGGGGATTGCAAGTGCTTGCACTGCTAGAGTGTGCGTAGACTTCCCCTCGCCTCACTCCCCACGCCTCGCTCCCCTCGCCTCGCTCCCCTCGCCTCGCTCCCCTTTCCTCGCTCCCCACGCCTCATTGTTCCCCGTCTCACTACTTCTTGCCTCACTTCCCCCGCCACACCCCCCCCGCTCAGTCCTCCACCCCACCTCTTCCCCCCCTTCCTTTATTTCTTCACCCTTCCTCCCCCCCCCTCGTCCGCCTCCCCTCCTCTCCATTACTGCACAGCCCGCTCCTTTCTCCCTTCCTCTCCCCAACCGGTCCTCTTTCCCCCACAACCCCTTTTCGCCGGCCCAGGTTTACCCCAACTACGCATAGTGCAACTCGAACTCCGCTGTACCTAACAGCACCCACTCACACCCCTCTTACAACCCGTCACCCCCCAGGTACACGCTGGGCGGGGTCTACTATGCACAGTATGACTCGAGTCCTGCGGGGAAGTTTGACGAGGTACGACTGGGGAAGGCTGTATTTCGTTGATGGAAGCAGAAAGGCTGCTTTTGGCAATGAGAAATGATTAATTATGCAAGCACCCCAAGTCGCAGCTTTTCGCCCAATTCAGTCCATCTATGTGCTCAAGGTCTCCCTGCCACCACCCTCCTTTTCCTAAACTCCCTTCTTCCGAGTCTCCTGCCTAGCCCATTGTTTTCTTCTCCTCTCTGATCGCCTTACCTCCACCCGGCCCTCCCCCCCCGTTTCATCCCTCCCCTCCCCTCTCCGCCCGTCCCTCTCCCATCTCCACCCGTCCCTTTTCCCCTTCCACCCGTCCCTCTCCCCACTCCGCCCGTCCCACTCCCCTCTCCGCCCGTCCCACTCTCCCCTCCGCCCGTCCCACTCCCCCCTCCGCCCCTCCACCTCCCCCTTCCGCGCGCCCCCATCCTCCCCTCAGCTCGTCGTCATACCCGGCATTGTGTGGGACCCACCAGCCTCGTGCGCGTGAGTCCTCAGCTCTGTAACCTGTCACCCTGTTACCCTGTAGTGCTGCGACCGTGTAATTTTGTTACCCTGCGACCCAGTAACGTCATTACCATGTAACCCTGCAACCCCATGGCCTCAACCCTGCACACGCACACACACATGCACACGTATGCATGCGTGTGCGTGCTCACATACACACACACTAGTCACTTTTGAGAATTCTCAAAAGTGACTCCCAAATAGCACATACACACACACTAGTCCCTTCTTGAGTACCACTCCCCGCCTTTTGAGGCGCCTCAAAAGTCGTGCTCACATACACACACACTAGTCCCTTCTTGAGTACCCTTGTGTGTGTGTCCCCTCCCCGCCCACATGCTCCTTCCCATTCGCATACCCTTGATCCTTTTTTGTCCGTTTGTGCCATTTGATTGCAACAGGTGGGCGGCAGCAGTGATGGTGGACAGTGCCTCAGCCCGGGACCATGGTATCAAGGTGTGTGGGTGGGTGGGATAATACTGAGTGTTTGTGATGGGTGTGATTGTTTCAACAATATGGATTACCAGGAACATGGATCTCGGACTTTTTTTCTGCTTTGGCTTCAGTGTGGCATTCCCTTTCCCCCACCCCACTCCCCCTTCTGCCTTTTTTTTTTCCGCCCTCAATCCACTCAATTCTCCTCCCACTCCTTTCTTCCTCGTTTCCATTTGCAGGAAGTTGGGTTGCCAAGCCGCTTCGTCTCATTCAACAAGGTTGGGTTGGTGTGTTGTGCATGGGTGGTGTGGTGTGGTGTGGATGGGTGGTGTGGTGTGGTGTGGATGGGTGGTGTGGTGTGGATGGGTGGGGTGGGGTGGTGTGGTGTGGTGTGGATGGGTGGTGTGGTGTGGATGGGTGGGGTGGGGTGGTGTGGATAGGTGGGGTGGGGTGGTGTGGATGGGTGGGGTGGTGTGGATGGGTGGGGTGGGGTGGTGTGGTGTGGTGTGGATGGGTGGGGTGGTGTGGTGTGGATGGGTGGGGTGGTGTGGTGTGGATGGGTGGGGTGGGGTGGTGTGGATGGGTGGGGTGGGGTGGTGTGGATGGGTGGGGTGGGGTGGTGTGGATGGGTGGGGTGGGGTGGTGTGGATGGGTGGGGTGGGGTGGTGTGGATGGGTGGGGTGGGGTGGTGTGGATGGGTGGGGTGGGGTGGTGTGGATGGGTGGGGTGGGGTGGTGTGGATGGGTGGGGTGGGGTGGTGTGGATGGGTGGGGTGGGGTGGTGTGGATGGGTGGGGTGGAGTGGTGTGGATGGGTGGGGTGGGGTGGTGTGGATGGGTGGGGTGGGGTGGTGTGGATGGGTGGGGTGGGGGGGTGTGGATGGGTGGGGTGGGGGGGTGTGGATGGGTGGGGTGGGGGGGTGTGGATGGGTGGGGTGGGGTGGTGTGGATGGGTGGGGTGGGGTGGTGTGGATGGGTGGGGTGGGGTAGTGTGGATGGGTGGGGTGGGGTGGTGTGGATGGGTGGGGTGGGGTGGTGTGGATGGGTGGGGTGGGGTGGTGTGGATGGGTGGGGTGGGGTGGTGTGGATGGGTGGGGTGGGGTGGTGTGGATGGGTGGGGTGGGGTGGTGTGGATGGGTGGGGTGGGGTGGTGTGGATGGGTGGGGTGGGGTGGTGTGGATGGGTGGGGTGGGGTGGTGTGGATGGGTGGGGTGGGGTGGTGTGGATGGGTGGGGTGGGGTGGTGTGGATGGGTGGGTTGGGGTGGTGTGGATGGGTGGGGTGGGGGTGTGTGGATGGGTGGGGTGGGGGGGTGTGGATGGGTGGGGTGGGGGGGTGTGGATGGGTGGGGTGGGGGGGTGTGGATGGGTGGGGTGGGGTGGTGTGGATGGGTGGGGTGGGGTGGTGTGGATGGGTGGGGTGGGGTGGTGTGGATGGGTGGGGTGGGGTGGTGTGGATGGGTGGGGTGGGGTGGTGTGGATGGGTGGGGTGGGGTGGTGTGGATGGGTGGGGTGGGGTGGTGTGGATGGGTGAGGTGGGGTGGTGTGGATGGGTGGGGTGGGGTGGTGTGGATGGGTGGGGTGGGGTGGTGTGGATGGGTGGGGTGGGGTGGTGTGGATGGGTGGGGTGGGGTGGTGTGGATGGGTGGGGTGGGGTGGTGTGGATGGGTGGGGTGGGGTGGTGTGGATGGGTGGGGTGGGGTGGTGTGGATGGGTGGGGTGGGGTGGTGTGGATGGGTGGGGTGGGGTGGTGTGGATGGGTGGGGTGGGGTGGTGTGGATGGGTGGGGTGGGGTGGTGTGGATGGGTGGGGTGGGGTGGTGTGGATGGGTGGGGTGGGGTGGTGTGGATGGGTGGGGTGGGGTGGTGTGGATGGGTGGGGTGGGGTGGTGTGGATGGGTGGGGTGGGGTGGTGTGGATGGGTGGGGTGGGGTGGTGTGGATGGGTGGGGTGGGGTGGTGTGGATGGGTGGGGTGGGGTGGTGTGGATGGGTGGGGTGGGGTGGTGTGGATGGGTGGGGTGGGGTGGTGTGGATGGGTGGGGTGGGGTGGTGTGGATGGGTGGGGTGGGGTGGTGTGGATGGGTGGGGTGGGGTGGTGTGGATGGGTGGTGTGGTGTGGTGTGGATGGGTGGTGTGGTGTGGATGGATGTCGATTCAACACACCTAGACATTTGTATGCTCGTACACTCGCCCACTCAAACTCACATGTGCACGCACACACAAACAGGTGCATACTCTCGCCATAAGACAGACATCAGTCTGAAGTAATCCAAGGCCACACCCTTCCCTTGCCCCACCTTGCCCATGGCTCACCCTGCTGCTCCCCATGCCCCACCTTGCCCATGGCTCACCCTGCTGCTCCTCATGCCCCACCCGATTCCCTGTGTGTTGTGATATGGCGTGCAGAAGCTGCTGCCATCGCCTCAGTCTGCCGCACACACCGCTCCTCTCAACTCCATTCCCTCCTCTCCCTCCACCCCTCCATTGAACGATCCAAGCGCCTCAGCCTCAGCCTCCCCCTCCTCCTCCTCCCCCTCGTCCTCCTCTTCCTCATCTTCCTCCTCTTCTCATGCACCTGCCAAGGCTCCTCTACAGCTGCTGTCCAGATTCGTCAACCCCTGGGGAAAGGGGCGGACACAGGGGCTGGGAGGAAGCAGAGAGGGGGGGTTCCTGCAGGTGACTGTGTGTGATGGGGGGAGGGGAGGAAGGGGAGGAGGGAGAGGAGGGAGGGAGAAGGAGGGGAAGGGGGAGGAAGTGGGGAGTGTGAGAGACGGAGCACCCATGTTTGAGCTGCACATGAAGGTGCCATCCCCTAAAGGTGAGAATGACTGTCTTGTTTGGAAGAAGAATCACGCAAAACTGGAAACTGATAAGTGAGAGACGGAGCACCCATGTTTGAACTGCACATGAAGCTGCCATCCCCTAAAGGTAAGAGGGACGCTCCCTTGTTTGCGAGGCCTGCATGCATACTGGCTTCACTTGTTCTGGGTGTTTTTTAAACTTGTTGACTTCTGAAAACCTTCAGAAACACCTGCAATCCTCAGATTCACCTTGGAAGGCTTGTCTTGTACAGCTTTCCTTCTGGTGTAACGGTAACACCACATGGGCGATTTCCGTCTCCTGTCTATGTGTATGTGTATCCCTTATCACATGTTATTGTCTCTGATGTGGAACTTTTTGCTCTCGGTCAATTCCTGGCCTCATTCAACAAATTACCCCCCACCTCCATCTTCCTTCTCTGTTTCATGTGTGTGTTGTATGTGTGTGTGCGTGCATGCATGCATGTGTCCGTGCCTCCCCATGACATCATCAGAGCTAGCAGCTGTCTCCCGCCTGCCCCCAATAAAAATGTCACTGCCTAGCTTCAGGTAGTGTGCGTGTGCTGCGGTAACCAGCTCAGGTGAGTGTGTGTGTGCTGCAGTAACCAGCTCAGGTGAGTGTGTGTGTGCTGCAGTAACCAGCTCAGGTGAGTGTGTGTGTGCTGTGGTAACCAGCTTAGGTGAGCTTGCTTTCTGGTAACTATCATCATGGTAACCATGTTATCGTAATGTGGTAACCAGCTCCTTGCAAAAAATCTATGGAGAATTGTGGTAACCAGTCGTGAAAGAGCTTGTGCTGATGACTGACAGGATTGTGGTGACCAGCAGCTTATTCTCTCGATCAACCCTCTTCCTCCCATTCTTCCTTGCAACAGCCTGCTCATTCCGCCCTGCCCATTCCGCCCTGCCCATTCCGCCCTGCCCATTCCGCCCTGCCCATTCCGCCCTGCCCATTCCGCCCTGGCCAATCCACCTTGCTCATTCATCTCTGCCGCATCCCACCCGTCCTGTACCGCCCTGCCCCACATCACCTTTCTTGTCCACACAACCCTTGTCTCCAGTGGCCGCACGGAGGCTCAGCCTGTTCTGCTCAGAGCTGCCTGCACGTAATCCCATCCACCCACTTGCTCTAACCTATTACGTGCACTAACCTATTACTTGCCCTAACTTATTACTTGAACTAACCTATCACTTGCCCCTCCCATTCCGCCTTGGCCCATGTCACCCTTTCTTGTCCACACAACCCCTGTCTTCAGTGGCCGCACGGAGGCTCAGCCTGCTCTGCTCAAATACTCATGCGACCTCTCCTGCCGGTTAGTGTTCCCAGTTGACCTTTTCACCCTCATTGACCAACCAGGTTGTTTCAGGTCCAGTGTCTGCACCTGTCTTGTTCGGCCTCGCTTCTTGTGGCCCTTGTAAGCAACAGCTTACCTGGTAACTAGATTGATTCAGTCTCTCACCCTGCATCAGGCATTCGATTCACCTCTTTAATTCATACACACACACACACACACACACACACACACACACACACACACACACACACACACACACACACACACACACAAAATTCTTACACTTCCAAACATGCATGCCCGCACAGACACACCAATCACCCCGCATTTCCCCCTCTCCTCCTTCGCTCTGCTGTTTCGCCCTTTCAACCTACCTGCGCTCTGCCCCTGCAGTGTAAGCCTCATGCCGCCTGCCACCACCCGCATCAGCCCAGCCTACAGCCACACCTCGCCCGCCGGTGCTTCTGACTCTTTTACTGACTCTGTGACTTCTTCCAAGGAGCAGAATGCTAGCAGGAAGAGCCAGGATGTGGTGCTTGAGGTTCTCTCTGGTCGGCCGCTGATTGCGATGTGCTTCGAGGGGATGGAGATGAGAGTGGAGGCACCGACGCGGGTGGTGTTGCCTGCAACGACGGTTCCGAGGGAAGTCAAGGCTTGTGATGTCGTTGTCACCACAACCAGCTTGCAGTTCGAGGTTAAGAATAGTATTGAATCGCCTTTCGTGGCTGATTACAAGACTGCTTGAATCAAACCAATTGTTGGGCTGAGAAAAGCCCTTAGGATCTTTCAAGGCTAAACTCTGAGTACCTTGTGTTTGCGGAAGCGTTTAAGGACAAGTGTTGAACCACCTTGCGTTAGTATGTGAGGGCAAGATAGATTGTTAAAAGCAAGAAGATACAAGGTTTTTATAAGAGTACAAGGAATATGAAAAGATACCGTATTCTCCCGGATAAAACACCCTAGGGTATTATGAAAACCAATGGGAAAAAATGGGGGGGGTCTCCTCAAAGGAAAATCCTACATAATACCCGGGTCTTATTATATGGTATATTTTTTATCAAGTAGAAAAGATGTGAAACAAAATCAGGGGCCTGACTCCACTTCAAGAATGTTGACCAGTGCCGCAAAACCGAGTATACGGTACGAGGATAACGTGACCGCCCACTGGAATCTGCCACGTGGCAAATTCGAGTGGGCAATTCTGGCACTTGATAGGGTGAAATGAAAACAAAGCCAATTGCGTGGCGAGGGTTCATGCAACCGCCGAGGCCAGAATCGCGCACGGTGGTGCGTTCTTACTGCACCAGTCACTTCTTGACTGGTTTGGTCACGTGTCTGTGTCTCATGTGAGAAGGTGATTTTCACCTATTGGGTCACTTGCAGCGGAAGATTCGCCAGCGTGGCGACAGCGAGATTGTGGGAGGGGGGAAATCTTGGCAGATTCTAAGTGAAAGTACACGCGAAATTTCACCTAGGGAGCAATTCTCGCGATATCTTCCCGTAAGGAATCAGACTCGATAACAGCTATAATATGAATCTATAAGAAAAGGGGGGTGTTATAGAAAATCACCCCAAAAGGGGGGGTATAGTACAAACGGGGTCGGATATAACACCCACCCTGTATTAGCTAACCCGGGGGTGTACAATTATGGGGGGGTGTTTTATCCGAATACGGTACAGCTAATAATCGTTTGACTGTTGTTGTTGCGGTTCGATACAGTGACGACTCGGGCAAATGCTCAATAACGAGTCAGTTGTTTGTCCTTGCTGTCGCGCTGTACTTGTCAAGTCAAAGGTCGCTGACCTTTGACCTTCGCGTAACCTCCAGCAGTTGCTATTCTTGTCAACCTCCGATGGTTGACTCGCCGTTGTTCCTCTGTAGTTCGCCTCGTTTGTGGTTCGGTGTTACGACACACAAGAAGCGTTTAATTAATTGTTTCCAACACTCCCCTTCGCTTCTGGAGTGTCGTTGCTGGTGACGTGGCCCTGTCCAGTCAGCAACATGCAGTACTCGAACTTCTGCTTTCCGAGCTTCTTGGTCAAGTAATCAGCTTCCATCTCGGACGTGGGGCAGTAGGATAGCTCGAGTCTCCCCTTCTCGATCTCGTTTTTCACGAAGAAATATCGCAGGGCGATGTGCTTCGTCCGGTTCGCGAACCCGTTCTTGTTCGCTATGCGAATTGCAGATTGGTTGTCGCAGAACAGAGAGAAGCTGGGTAACTGGGCCAACTTCGCTTCTTCCAACAGTTCGCGAAGGTACAATCCTTCCCGTGTGGCTGAGCAGAGTGCAATATATTATGCTTCAGCTGAGGAGAGAGCGATTAGTTCCTGCTTGCTCGACTGCCACGAGATAGGCCCGATAGGTTCGAGTCGGTAGATGTAGCCAATGCGCGATCGCCTGTTGTCAGAGTCGCCGGCGTGGTCAGCATCCACGTAGCCGATTAGCTTAGGTGTTGTGGTTCCGGTTTTGTGGTATGTCAAGCCGATCGTCGGGGTGCTTACGAGGTAGTGAAGAGCGCGATTGAGCTCCGCCATGCGTTCTGCTTCAGGTTTCTTGAGGTAGGTGGCGAGCTGGCTCGCTGAGTATGATAGGTCCGGTCGGCAGGTGACGGCTGCGAAGAGCAAACATCCCAGCTTTCGTTGATAGTCGCGTATGCCGGCGGGTTTGAGTGGAGTGGAGGCTTCTTCGCGGTTTCCGTTGGTGTAGCGATATGGCGTGGAAATTGTGGTCGGAGTTAATCCGAAACGTTTTGCGATGGTGTCGGCGTATTTCGCAGCGCTGGGGTAGATCGCGTTTTCTCCTTCCTGTATGTTGAGCCCGAGGTACCGCGTCACGGTGGAGGAGACGGTGAGTTTGAGATCCTGCTGCAGCTCCCCTTCGAACCAGGTTGTGATACCGTCGGTCGAGGCGATTTAGAGCAAATCCTCTACGTAGACAATGAGCAGAATGTAGTCGGCGCCTTTCGTGAGCTGGTACATCCCTTTATCATGTGGTAGTTGACGGAATTCGATGCGAAATAGCCGGGCGTGTAGGTACTGCTGCCACAGCCTCGGAGCCTACTTGATCCCCTACAGGGGTTTTAGTAGCTGACAGACTCGGTTAGGGTCTGCATTAGACCCATGAGGCTGTTCGACGAAGATTTCAGCGTCGATAGGGGCGTAGAGGAAGGCGTTGGCGACGTCGATTTGTCGGAGTTTCTTTCGCTTCATGGCGGCTATCGCGAGAAGAATCCGCAGTGAGGTGTGTTGACTGACCGGAGCGAATGTTTTGGTGAAGTCTCGTCCATGCTCTTGATCGAAGCCACGAACGACCCAGCGCGCCTTGAATTCGTCGATGGTTCCGTCTGCCAAGGTTTTCACACGGAAAACCCACTTCCCGGTGAGTATTGTCTTGTTGCGTGCCACTCCGATGGGTACATTTTTCCAGGTGTTGCGTTCTTCCAGCGCCTTTAACTCCTTGTCCATGGCTGTGCTCCCCCCCCAGAGCCTGCTGAACCCTTGCAGGCTCCTTGCGTGGCGCTGCTCCATGGACGGCGGTGAGGAGTCCCAGAATCTGCAGTCCACTCTATGTGTAGCGGGGGAGAGTTGCATCCTCAGGATAAGCTGCTTCGTCTCCTGCTTCTGGATGAAGTATGAAGTTGGGTCCTACTCGTTCTGCTTCATCGGTGTTGACTCTTGAAGGTGTAACGTAACCATTGTCGGCGAAGTGATAATAAACTTCGGCGTTGATGCTTTCGCGGGGATTTTCGTCGTCCATTGGGACGTCGACCGAACAGTAGGGAAGAGGTGCGGCTTCCTCTGAGGCTCCATCCACATTCTGCTTGTCCCAGTCAGCTTCGTTTGCTGCTGAAGCGAAGGCTCAGTTACCATGAAATCCACCTGTGGGGTCTCGGTCTTCTTCTAGGTTGGCAAGGTATGTTGGGAGGGTGAGTCGTTCGTATAAAATCACGTCACGTGCCGCTACTGTTTCCTTTGAGTGGATGTCGAAAATCTTCCTTGTGTTGTAATGTTTTTCGATGGCCAGGTGTACTCCCCACTGTGCTCGTTGAGAGAATCGGCCGGCTCGTGCAGCTGGGGGTCGGTACTGTACCATGCAGCCGAACATTCGCAACATTTTTATGCTGCCCAACTTTCCTGTCCACAGCAGGTGCGGGAGAGATGATGACGAGAGCAAGTTGTGCAGCATGACAGCGTGGTCCATCGCCTCGGGCCACTGGTGGTTGGGTAGCCGCATGCCACGCAACAGTTTGCGCATGGTGTTCTGAAGCGTCCTGTTCATTCTTTCTGCCACGCGCCTTTTGATGCCTCTTTCTGCCAGGTAGTCTTTGAAACTTTGGGACTGATATTCTCCTCCCCCGTTTGAATGGAAGCTTTTGAGCTTCACTCCTGATTCTCGTTCTGCTACTAGAAGCCAGGCGACGAAAGCTTCGAAGGCCATGTCACGGCTTAGAAGATTGAGATGCCATACGTATTGTGTGGCGGCATCGATGAACGCGATGATGTAGTTATAAGCTCCTTGTCCGGGTTCACAGTTGTACAGTATACCGCTGTACACCTTTTCCAGTGGTGTGTACGCCGGTGCGCTTAGGTTGTGGTGAGAGACGAACGGCTGGTGTGGTAAGTCGGCTTCGGGCCAGGTAAAACACGTTCCGCGGACTCGTTGAAGTTCTCTGCCGTCGGGTAGAAGTAGTGAATCTTTGTCAAGGACGCCTGCTCGGATCGTGTTATTTAACGTTGTGTTGCTCGGGTGTCCCATTCTTGCGTGCAAGATGTCTTCGCCAGCGCGGTGTCCGGGTGAGCGCCTGTATAGGTCGGAGTTGGAATAAAAGCCGGCGGTGAAGTTGGCACTTCTGTGGACTTCTCGTGGAGTGGGAGTTAACTGCTGAACAAGAGTTGATGGAATATCGTCGATAGGAGCTGGTGCCGTTGAAGGACCCGTAATTGGTGTCGTAGTCGGTGTTGCCTCTGCTGTTGCCGGTGTTGTCTCTGCTGCTGCCGATGTTGTCTCTGCTGCTGGCGATGTTGTTTCTGCTGTTGCCGATGTTGTCTCTTCTGCTGCCAGTTATTGTATTGTCGCAAATGCTCTCGTTCGTTCTGCCTCAGGTATGGTGTTCGAATACCAAAAGGCGCCGGGGCTGAAGTCGAGGTCGAGGTCAGCGGATGTGTCCAGGAAGTGAAGGTGACGATTTCGTCGCTGTCGGCGGTGCCTTGATCTGGAACGAAGTCAAGGACGAAGACGTTGTTCTTCAACACTGCCTTGCCGATGTATAAGTTCACCCCTCCCGAGGTACAGTTTGAATTCCTGAGTGGTGCTATCTGCTTCGAGATGAATTCCTTTCGCCATCAGCTGACTGACACTGAGTAAGTTGTAGCCGAGAATTTGACATTTGTAAAATGACATTTGTCTCTCGTGACTGAAGTTGAACTATCCCTTGTCGTCGTGTGCGCAGGTTCTGATTGTTGGCGATGGTGATGATGACCTCGCGCTAGAGCTGGTGTTCTCATTGAACAAAGCAACCCGAGGAGCACATGTGTTGTCCACAGCAGCTGTCCAAGAACCAGGTGTCTTTCGCAGACGGCTTGCTCTGGGCGATGGCTGCGTATGTCGGGTTCGGTTCTAAAGACTCGCGGCGAGGGGTCCTTTCGTCGAGTTGTTCTTCCGGTGAGTAGTGGGGTGGTGACTTGGTGATGCAGGAGTCTGTCAATCTTGCCATACAGCTGACGATGTTTCTTGTTCCTTGCGCAGCTTGCGACGTCATTGTCGTTGAAGACTGCGTCTGACTAGTGGGGTGCGCCTGTGTGGAGGCCACTTGACTGCTTGAGGGCCGAAGTTGACGTTGCGGTGGCGTTGACTGCGGCTGATTTGGGCAGTGTGTGCGAGGATGCCCTGACGACTTGCAGAGGTGACATAATGGTGGTACGTATCGTTGTGGTTGATGCTTATTCTGCCGGCTATTGTTGTTGTTGTTGTACCGTCGTTGAGTGTGAAAAGCGAACTCAGGTACTGACGTTTTTCTCTTGTGACATTCTTTGTGCAGGTCCATGTCTTGCTGCTCGGCGTGAATTTTGGCGCAGAGTGCTGCTTTGGAGATCTTCCCGTGAGCTCGTAGAAAGGCTCGGGTGGAGCGCCAATGGGGACCAAGTCCAGCGATGATGACAGTGACGAAGGCTTCTTCAGATATCGCTCCTCTGCATCGAAGGAGTCTGTCACGCACTCCGCGACAACGGCTGATACACGCCATCCCCTTTTTGCCGGGTTTCATTTCCACTGTTGTCACCTGTGCCATTAACCGGCTCTGATTGACGCTGTCTGTTGCTTGATATAGGTTCTTCAAGTGGCTGTACGCGAGCTCGGCGGAGTTGCCGTATCTTCGATAAGACCGGATGTTCTGCTGCTCGTTTGGCGTTATGTTGCGTAGCAGAATCGTGTACGCCATCAGCGACTGATACGTATATTGCTGCTTGTCATACTGTGTTCCGTGCGTTGGATATGGCAGGGAACCGTCAAAGAATCCGAGGATTTGCGCGCCTTCCATCATCAATTCGAACTCAAATGACCAGGTATAGAAGTCTTTCGCGTCGAATGGTCTTGATGTCTGCAGCTTTAAGACGTGTGCGAACTGCGATGGATCCTGAAGCGTGTCCAATGCCTTTTCTTGTCCATGTGAAGGTTGCTGATGCGGCATGAAGCTGATGGAGCCGCGTTGAGGCTTGTACGGATTGAAGGTAGGTTGTTGCTGATTTCCGCGCGCGTAGGATGAGCCATCGATACTCATGGGTGTGGCACCGTTGTTGTTGTCGCTATTGTTTGACTGCGCAGGTGCTGTTTGCTGGTGCTGTTCGTAGAAGGACATGAAGGAGAATAAATTCTCCATCATGTTTAGGTCGAGGCCAGTCATTTGGTTTGTAGGAGTTTCTATGGACTCAGCAGCTGGTCTTGTTACTGTCCCTTCCTCTGTTTGTAGACCAGAGGCTGGAGGTGGAGTAGGAGTAGTGCCGGGAGAGCCGCTAGAGGAGCTTCTCTCCTTCTATGTTGCCATGTCTTCTGATGTTGTAGGAGTTTGGACGAAGTGGAGTTTTGCCTTGTCTGCTCTCATGCCATGTTGGGCTGAGAAAAGCCCTTAGGATCTTTCAAGGCTAGACTCTGAGTAGAAGTGTTGTATTTGCGGAAGCGTTTAAGGACAAGTGTTGAACCACCTTGCGCTAGTATGCGAGGGCAAGATAGATTGTTTAAAGTCAGCATGGCAAAGCGTTTTTTGTTTCTAGGGTTTTAAACACTAGCTGGAAGAGTAGCGAGAATTGTTTTCGTTGAGAGTACCCTGGCGAAGCAAAACACATGTTCGCCACACATGTTTGTATTCGACAAAAGGTGATTTGGCGACCAAGCATACGACCCGTCAGGTGCTAAGGAACGCAACCGATCAGGATGGTGGAATTGATAGCTCAAACAACCGCAAGCAGGGCAACCGATCAGGGTAGGGACAACAAAAAAAATGGGGGAATACAACTCGGTGATGAGATGATACAACCTGTGAGTCAAACAGTTCGCATGCAACCCGCTTACTATCCTGAGGACTGGAGTAGAGTAAGAAAATCAGTGCGACAGAACAGCTAACAACTCATTGAGTCGCTTTAGAATCCGACCGTCGCACACCAGCTAGGGTTTTTTAGTGAACACAATTCAGACAAATTGAATTAGTAGGTGCAGCGTGTATATGCAAACAAAGGGAAGCACAGGCGCACGATTCAAGCGTGAAGCACAGAGAAAATGGGTGTGAGGAGAAGAGAAAGGGCCGCTTTGCCTACCTCGCGTCCCTCGCACGTCGCCCTTGCTTTCTCTGCCCACCGCCCTCGCCCCGCCCGTCGCCCTCGCCGCCTCCCCGCCCGTCGCCCTCGCTTCCTCCGCCCGCGCTCGCTTCTCCCATCCCGTCGACCTCGCTTCCCTCGCCCATCCCCCTTGCTTCCCCCGCCCGTCACTCTCGCTTTCCCCGCCTACCACACTCGCCCCGCCCGTCGCCCTCACTTCCCCGCCCCATCGCTCGCCCCTTCAATCGCTGCTGCTTCCTTTTTGCAGAGGCCACTTTCCCCCTTCTCACTCTCCGTTTTCAGTCGCATCTCCCAATCCGCCTACGTCACAACTTGCATTCCTGTCGTTCTCGCTGCTCAGTTTCTACCGCAGTTTGCGCTCAGTCTCCCCCCCCAATTCACACCCCGGACTACACTCAAATTCCCCCCTTGATTGCGCTCGGTTTCCCCCCCTGATTACGCTCATTTGCCCCCCTGATTGCACTCAGTTTCCCCCCCTGATTTTGCTTAGTTTCCCCCCCGGATTGCGCTCAGTTTTCCCCCCTGATTGTGTTCAGTTTCCCCCCCTGATTGTGTTAAAAGTTTAGAAGAAAGAAGAGGGTTGCACTAGCAAGAATGAGGATACAAATAGCAAACCCTAGAAGGGTTGTACTCGCTATAGAGCACCCCACTACAGGCTAGAGCATAATATTCTGACACACCCCCATAGCCAAAGTGGGGTGTAATCAGCAGAGCAAGCAAAGCAGTACAAGCTCAGGGTGGATCACAATGTCACCACACATTTTGAGCACAAGTTCAAGAAGCAATAGTTTAAAGTTCACGATTATGAGCAAAGCTAGTGGTAGTCAGAACGAGCAAGTGAGGAGGAGGAAAGAGACTATGAGAGGAGAGGAGGTAGTGGGCGGCAGCTGAAGCTGCTGGCACACGGCGCAACTGGAGCAACTGGCACACGGGCAACTGGAGCAACTGGCACGCTGGCAACTGGAGCAACTGGCACACGGGCTACTGGAGTAACTGGCTCCGCGGCTAAAAGTAGCGGCAGATGAGCAACGGACTCATGGGCGACTGGAGCAACGGGCTCACGGGCGACTGGCGCAACAGGCTCACGGGCGACTGGCGCAACGGTCTCATGGGCGACTGGAGCTGCTGGCTTCACGGCGGCCACCCCCTTCAACCTCCCCAAACTATCCCACTCCCCCTGACATACACCCGCTGCTACACCGCTAGCTCCACTCCCCCTTCACCCCCCCTTAGTACCACTCCAACGGCTCCAACAAGTCCACCCCCCCTCAGCGGCAGCTGCAGCACAGGGAGACGGAGGAGGAGGAGGAGCAGGGAACGGCACACAGTGGCTTCACCCCCATACCCCTCACCCCCAAACCCTAATTCAGGAGAACGGGCTGTAGGAGGGGTGGGGCGCCTGTAGAAGCACGGGGGACAGCGAGGAGGGCAGGGGCAGCGAGGAAAGGGCCGCCCACGGGCCTGGCACAGCCGCCCGAACCGCGCGCAGGCGGCCCGATGTCAGAATCCCAACCACTAGACCATTGGGATAAAAGGGCTTGTTTGTGTAGCGGGTAAGTGCGCCCATAAACCCCCAAGGCCAACGTGCCTGTAACCCCTCCCTAGGATCAATCGGGGATCACCAGTGGACCTTTGACACCCCCCCGCACTGGGATGCCCGAAGTGCACACACTGGGATTCGAACCCGAGACCTTCGCTCTGATACCATGTCAGAATCCCAACCACTAGACCATTGGGATAAAAAGGCTTGTTTGTGTAGCGGGTAAGTGCGCCCATAACCCCCCAGGCCAACGTGCCTGTAACCCCTCCCTAGGATCAATCGGGGATCACCAGTGGACCTTTGACACCCGAGCCGCGCGCGGGCCTGGCGCAGCCCATACGGGCCGCGCGCGGGCCTGGCGCAGCCCGTACGGGCCGCGCGCTGGCCTGGCGCAGCCCGTACGAGCCGCGTCCGGGCCTGGCGCAGCCCTTACGGGCCGCGCGCAGCCTGTACGGGCCGCGCGCAGGCCACGACGGGCGACAGGGGGCGACGCGCGAGTCCCCGTCGCCCGTCGCAGCGCCTCCCGAGGGCGACGCGCCGAGTGACGGGGCAGAAGCCCGCCGCGCGCCTCGGGGCGCACAGCGGGCAGAGAACCGCCGCGCGCCACGGGGCGCACGGCGGGCAGAAAACCGCCGCGCGCCTCGGGGCGCACGGCGGGAAGAAAAACTGCCGCACGCCACGGGGCGTGCGGCACAGAGAGTAGCAGTGGAAGTTGTAGCGGAAGCAACGAGGTGGTGAGCCCACCCATAGGATCGATCCAAGGGGATCGACCTGCTCTGATAGCATGTTAAAAGTTTAGAAGAAAGAAGAGGGTTGCACTAGCAAGAATGAGGATACAAATAGCAAACCCTAGAAGGGTTGTACTCGCTATAGAGCACCCCACTACAGGCTAGAGCATAATATTCTGACAGATTGCGCTCAGTTTCCCCCCCCGATTGCGCTCAGTTTCCCCCCCTGATTGCGCTCAGTTCCCCCCCCTGATTGCGCTCAGTTTCATTCATAAATGTCCTCCGGCATCCTCCGGCGTACCCTCCCCCCTTTTTTACCACTCCTTCACCCTCTCCCCTCTCTTTCTATCTCTGTCAATCCCTCCCCCTCTCTTTCCCTCATGTCCCCCCTCCAACCCCATATTCCTTTCCCTCCTTGCCCTCATGTTCCCCTGTTCCCCCCCCTAGTTCCCCTGTTTCCCCCCCTGGTTCCCCTGTTTCCCCCCCTGGTCCCCCTGTCCTCCTCTCTTCCCCCTATCCTCCTCTCTTCCCCCTATCCTCCTCTCTCGCCCCTGTCCTCCTCTCTCCCTCCTTTCCTCCTCTCTTCCCCCTGTCCTCCTCTCTCCCTCCTGTCCTCCTCTCTTCCCCTTGTCCACCTCTCTTCCCCCTGTCCTCCTCTCTTCCCCTTGTCCACCTCTCTGCGGAGATAACTAGTGCAACGGGAGCTAGACTACGGGCTAGGCACGGGGCAAGAGTGATCGTAGCGTTCGTTCGTTCCTTAGTCGTTTCCAAGTGCTAACATTGCTTGCTAGCTCACGGGGAAAATTGGCAAGAGTTTCACTAGGAAAACCTGACAACAAAAGTTCAAAATGATTGCATCTGTCAGAATGTTATCTTATGCTCTAGCTTGTAGTGGGGTGCTCTATAGCGAGTACAACCCTTCTAGGGTTTGCTATTTGTATCCCCATTCTTGCTAGTGCAATCCTCTTCTTTCTTCTAAACTTAAACATGCCATCAGAGCAGGTCGATCCCCTTGGATCGATCCTGTGGGTGGGCTCACCACCTCGTTGCTTCCGCTGTAACTCCTACTGCTACTGCTATCACTACTCTCTGTGCCGCACGCCCCGTGGCGTGCGGCATTTTTTCCATCCCGCCGTGCGCCCCGAGGCGCGCGGCGGTTTTCTGCCCGCCGTGCGCCCCGAGGCGCGCGGCGGTTCTCTTCCCGCCGTGCGCCCCGAGGCGCGCGGCGGGTTACTGCCCCGTCACGCCGCGCGCCGCTCCCGGGAGGCGCTGCGATGGGCGACGGGGACCTCCGCGTCGCCCCCCGTCGCCCGTCGTGGCCTGCGCGCGGCACGTACGGGCCGCGCCAGACCCGTCCGCGGCCCGTACGGGCCGCGCGAGGCCTACGCGCGACCCGTACGGGCGGCGCCAAGCCCGCGCGCGGCTCGGGCCGCCTGCGCGCGGCTCGGGCGACCCTACCTGCGGCCCTGGCCCCGGCCCCGCCGCCCTACCTGCGGCTCCGTCGTCCCGACGCCCTACCTGCGCCCCGGCCCCATCGCCCTACCTGCGCCCCGGCCCCGGCCCCGCCTGCGGCCCCTTTTCCCGTCGCCCGTCGCGGCTCCCTCGGGGGCCTGGGGGAGGGGGGCGAGCGCCGCCCCTTCTGCTGCCTGTCTTGGCGCCCTGGGAGGCCGCGCGTCGGTTCCCCCCCCCCCCCTCCCCCGTAACCTCCCTACCCGCCATCCCGCCCTGCCTGTGTTAGGGTTTGGGGAGTGGCGAGTAGGGGGTGGCGAGTATGGGGGTGGCACTTCTGCATTCCTCCCTTTGCTCCTCCTCCTCCTTTGTCTCCCACTGCTGCAGCTGTCGCTGAGGGGGGTGGATGTGTGGGAGACTGGGGTTTAGGGTTTAAGGGGGGTGCGTGGGAGTGGAGCTAGCGGTGTAGCAGCGGGTGTGTGCCAGGGGGAGTGGGATAGTTTGGGGAAGCTGTATGGAGGTTGCCGTCGTGTCGCCAGCAGCACCTGTATTCCGGGGACTTCGTCCGGTAGCCCAGTCGTAGCCAGCTGTGCCAGCCGCCCGTGGGTCCGTTGCTCGTCTGCCGTTACTTTAGCCGCGGGGCCTTTTACTCCTGTATTCCGGGGACTTCGTCCAGTAGCCGCTGAGCCAGTCTGCCTCCTGTTGCCCGTGTGTCTGCAGCTTCAGCCGTCGCCTCCTATCTCCTCTCCTCTCACTCTCTCTCCTCCTCCTCGCTTGCCCGTTGTGACTACCGCTAGCTTTGCTCATAATTGTACCCTTTAAACTATTGCTTCTTGAACTTGTGCTCAGAATGTGTGGTGACATTGTGATCCACCCTGAGCTTGTACTCCTTTGCTTCCTCTGCTGATTACACCCCACTTTGGCTATGGGGGTGTGTCAGAATGTTATCTTATGCTCTAGCTTGTAGTGGGGTGCTCTATAGCGAGTACAACCCTTCTAGGGTTTGCTATTTGTATCCCCATTCTTGCTAGTGCAATCCTCTTCGTTCTTCTAAACTTTCACAGCATCAACATTGGCAACACAAACTACATTAGACCTAGCAAGGCTGCTGGTCAACTGCCAGCGCAGCACGGTCGACCGCGTACCAGCACGACTTGGTCGATCGCGCTCCAGCAGAGCAGAGTCGCGGCTTGCCAACGTTTCAAGTCCGCGGTGTGCCAACGCTGCAGTAAGTCGGCTGCACAGCGTTGCACCCGCCTGACAATGTTGCACCAGCTTCGAAGGTGCGTACAGCTGGTTGGCGCGCAACTCCCCGTCACATGCCCAGCGCAGACACTCCACCCGTGACGGCGCCCACCAGCCACGTCGACCTCGGGATACCACCCCCGAGGTCGTACTCGCAGAAAACACCCCCCCAGCGACTTTCGCGCACGTCGCCCGGGTATCCTGGTTGACCGGGTATTTCGCGGTCCTCCCGCGGTTTCGCGGCCCCCGCGGTCCTCCCGCGATTTCGCGGCCACCGTGGTCCTCCCGCGATTTCGCGGCCACCGCGGTCCTCGCCACCGCGGTCCTCCCGCGATTTCGTAGCTCCCACGGACCTCCCGTGGTTTCGCAGCTCCTACGGTCCTCCCGTGGTTTCGCGGCTCCCACGGTCCTCCCGCGGTCGGCTCCGCCCAAGCGAGGACGGGGCCAAACACAACTCCCGTTGACACTCTCTCCCCCCTGTTCTCCTCTCTATCCCCTGTCCTCCTCTCTCCCCCCTGTCCTCCTCTCTCCCTCCTTTCCTCCTCTCTTCCCCTTGTCCTCCTCTCTCCCTCCTATCTTCCTCTCTTCCCCTTGTCCACCTCTCTCCCCCCTGTCCTCCTCTCTCCCCCCAGTCCTCCTCTCTCCCCCCTTTTATCATCCCTTCCTCACTCCTCTCATCCGTTCCTCCCCTCTCTCATCCCTTCCTTCCCTCTCTCAGCCCTTCCTCCCCTCACTTGTCATTTTTCAACCCTGTTATTGTCTTCAACAGGCATGTAACTCGGAAGTGCTTGGGTGGTTTCACGACCATGTAACTCTATTTCATCGTTGCGCACTTGTGCGTTTTGTCCCAGTTTTGCGGTCACCAGTGCGTGACATTGGGCGGAAACCTGGAGGGTGCACTATCAGCCTCTGAGCGGCTTTCTATATATATATTTTTTGTCTCCGTTTCCGTCTTGCTTGCCCTCTGTTTTGACTGTGCCTTACGCTCATTTCTCCTGCTTGCACCCTGTGACTCACCTGTGTTCCCTCCCTTCCCTGTCCAATCCTTCCCACCTTCCCTAACATTGTGAGCATTGCTTTACAGGATGGAGCAACCAAGTACGATTTGATTTCATTTGAGGCTACTCGGTGCCCTCATTATGCCCTCATTGATACTGTACTCAAGTTGTTGTTCATGCTGCTGTTATGGTAGCCTCTGTTAGTTTTGTTTGTAACCCTTTTACAGTAGATCAGAATACAAAACAGGCGACAAGATGTAAACCTTAAACACAAGTCTACTTTATTTGAGATCTAACTACACATGACATAAGCATGCAGTATCAGTATACAAGACAAGCTCGAACTGTTACGCGAGTCTTGGTTTCCTTCGCGGTGTCCAAAGTTGGCTGCACCTCCGCGGCCCGCTTCTCCGCGACTGGCTGGGCGTCACGTCGGCCACCGGCGATGCTCTTGGCCGGGGCCACAGGCGACGCCCCACGGCTCCCCTCATCGCCGGAGGCCAACACCGGAGTCTGGCCACGCAGTTCGACGGGAAGGGAATGGGAAGAAGGGGCACGAGATGGCGAGGCAGGGGCGACCGCGACATCCTCATCAGCCCGCTCACCGACCTCGGCGAGCAGAGGAAGCGTCGCCGTCGAGGTGTCCGTCGGCGGGTTGGCCCGCGTCCGCCTTGATGCAGGCCCGAGGTCCGACTTCCACACCTCCAGCGACAGAGTTTCGTAGAACACCACGTCCGACGTGGTGACCACCCGGTTGGCAATGATGTCGAGGAGCTCCTAGCCTTTGCTCTCCTCCGACACGCCGAGGTGAAGGCCCCACCGGGCCTTCGGCTTCAGCTTCCCACCGCGCTGCTACTCAGGGACGAGGAATTGCGCCATGCAGCCCCACACCCGCGCCATCGACAAGTCAGGCTTCTGCCCGGTGAGGAGCTGGTATGGCGTCGTCCCCGCGGGCAGCGACGACCGCTCCAGGCAGTTGCGAACCCAGACGGCCTACCGCAGAAGGAGATGCCACCAGTGGTGCTGTACGCCCATGTGCAGCAGCATCGTCCGCACCGACTCCACCACCGTCCTCATCTCCCGCTCCGCCATGCCATTCTGTTGCGAGATGTAAGGGCAGGTCAAGTCGTGAACGATTCCCTTGCTTTCCACGAAGGCGGTGAAGTCCTTTCCGAGGAACTCTCCTCCGCGGTCAGAACGCAGTTGCAGCACCGAATGCTTCGCTTGCCGCTCCACCAGCACCAGCCACTTCTGGAACTCCAGCAGCACGTCCGACTTCTTGGCGACCAGCCTCACCCACACATAGCGGGTCTTAAGGTCCTTCAGCAGCAAGAAGTGCAGGCTGCCGTCCTTGGCAGCCACGCGAAATGGCCCGCACAAATCGATGTGCACGACGGCCAGGACGTCGTCGGCTTCGGAGCCGTGGTCGGGGAAGGTGTGCCGCGCCAGCTTCCCGCCGACGCACGAAAGACACGGTGAGTCGGCGTCAGACGCCGACTTGAGGTCCAGCCCGGTGGCGACCTCGTGCTTTGCCGAGCTCCGTATGGTGTCCATGCCAACATGCGCAAGCCTCGCGTGCAGCCTGTTCACGGTTGCTTTCGTCGCCGAGACTATCGCCTGCAGAGCCACGTCCTCTTTCGCGGGCGTCGTCAACTTAACCGCGCATGGGCGCAGGTCAGTACAGAGGACCTGGCCGGTGTACGTCGCGCGACCGAGCACGTCCCTCGCCGCGGAGACGAGAAACATCCGGTCGCCATCGTCCTTCAGCGTCACCCCGCTCTCCTTCAGCTGGCCAGCCGAAAGCAGATTCGTCTGCACGCCCGGGACGTAGAGGACGTCGGAGATGAGCACCCGCTTTCCGGCCTTCCCCTGCAGAGCAACCGTGCCACGGCCGCGAACGTCCTGCAGCGCCCCATTGAAGCCGCGCACGTGCTTCACGTCGCCGCTCGGCCCCAAGTCGACGAAGGCCTCCTTCGTCCCCATCAGGTGGTGCGAGCAGCC